ATCTGAAATGCTTAAAAATTTGAGAATGGTTTTCAGTAAAACTATTGGGCATTTAATATCTCAAACTGAATCTGGCATGTTTCATATGCTTCATTTGATGTACTTGAAACCTGCATATCATTTTATGCTAGACGATGCCAGATAAATGTAAATCATGGTATGTGCCTGTGTGTGTGTGTGTGTGTGTGTGTGTGCACATGCATGCCCCTGTGTATTTGTGTGTGCTTGTGTATTTAGAATGTAAATATGTAGCATTTATATCAGAACAGACAACTGTGCTTCTCTAATTTGCGATTATTTTATAGTATTATATTAAAAAAACAGATTTAGGCAAAATAATGAATCTTTATAAACATAATTAATTCTACATATCATCTACATTATGGTGAAAGGCCAATTTTCTTTGCCTTTCTGTATTATCTAACCACATGACAAAACAATGAGGGTTTTTTTTTTAGCATTATTGGAATAGTCAAAAAGTGATCAACACTCCAGCACATAAAGGTGCGGTGAAGAACCAAGTGTCATTAAAGAAACAGGCATGGAATTTAAATTCATATTTTTGCTGCAAGTAAATAAATGTTTCCCACTCCTTATGATATGTAGCTATTTTTATATTTTACTGGAAAAATCCATTTGAAATATGACTTTTCCAAACAGGTTTCTCCGTGCAATACTTCCATTCTACTCAAAAGAACTAAAGAAAAACAATGTTGTTGATTGAATTCTTCCTGCTGATAATGGGGTCCCTAAATGTTTTGACAATTTCCTCCTTTAAAATTTACGCTCAAGCCTCTACCTCACACAGGTTCATCCTCCAGCGTTTCCACTGAAGATTCCCCCAAGGTTGTCACACTTTACACCACCTAAGTTCTTGTTTGTCATTGCATGACGATGATTGTCTTTTTCCTTCTATCTTTCCCAGGAGAAGATTGTAATGAATCCACATGCATAGCCTTACCACCTGGAGAGGCATCCTATTCAACTCCTTATATAAAGAGAAGACCAACAGATTAACTTTTAATTGGAATTTGCAATAGCAATATCATCACCACCTTTCTCACAAAAATCTGCAAAATACAGAAAAGTTTGTAGTGGCCGAGACAATCTTGCACTATTCTGTTACCAATTTGTACTTTTACCAGAAATTCAACAGAAGTAATCCAAGAGGGATTTGTAACATTCTCTAAAATCTGGTCTTTAATTTTCTTGTCCTTGCAATGAATAATTGAAGCAAGAGCTAATCTTTGTATAATAATTACTGAAGTACGGTATGTATGGGGAAAGCTCTAAACTGGTAGTACTGTCAGTACTATGCAACCTCATCATAACAGCTCATAAGAATGAGCAAAGCTGTTATTTTCCAATCCAATGTATACATCACATTATAAAATACTAAAGAATCTTAGCTGCTAAAATGCATATTAGCAATATGACGCAGCAAGTTAATTCTGCAACAACTGTGTGCTCTCAATTACTTCTGGGAATGTATACCGAACTATAGCCCTAGAAAAACAGTATGAAAGCAGTCTGCTCACATACTTAAACACATTTATATAAATAATGTAACCAAAAAACCCCAAAAGATATCCATTCACAGAATTCTTTTTTTAAAAAAAAAAAACATCATTATTGGCACCCCGTTACATAAGATTGGCTTGAAATACAGTAGCATCAATTCCTTAGGTCACTGATAGGCCGAGATCTTTGCAGCCCTTGGCAAGCAAATCTTTTCTCCCTTTCTGCCAAATTGAGCTCCTGAACAAAGAACTTGCCTAACCATTTCTAAACCAACACATCCATTAAATCGTCCACCCAAGGCTGACTTCCTTCCCACTTGGAATCAGACTGATGCTGAAGCAATAGGTGCAGGATTCACCAAAGGAACATACGGTTATATCATCACAGATATTGGTCAGTTTGCATTTCCCTCTTTGGTAATTGCTCAGTTTTTGTTAAAATATATATTTGTTTTGTGGATTGTTTTTTATACTTTCGGATGAACTTGCTATAGTGAAACCCTACAGGCCTCCTTGTTCTGAAAAAAAAAAAATTCTTAAGAATGCAAATGATGAATGACGTCAAATTTTATGCCGCATTTTATTTTAAAAGAAACCTATTTCAATGTTTTGATGTTTTAATAACTGGAAATGGAGATGACGTAATTCTTTTGTCTTGAACTTTGTTTCATTTACTGAGTTGAGTATAGTCTCTCATCTAATGCTCATGGAAATTAAAAGAACTCTTGGAAAATCAAATTTTTCCTTCTACATATGCGTAAGACATGGCAGGGACTATTCTTAAACAGCCCTCTCTCATATAGAAATGATTAAAAGGTAGCACCCATCAAATTCCTAAAAGTTATCTCTGAAACCCAATATAAAAAAAAACTTGTGCAGGATTTTGCCAAAACCTCAGCATTTTGAAAAGGAGTTGCCTATGGCTTGATGATGCCTGACATAAAAGCTACTATATGAAGAGATGAATTTAGGATCTGTGTTTGGTTCAATTAATCATGCTGAGACTCTATTCAGTTTCATAAGTAATGCTTATAGTATTGGATTCACAATCAACCATTTCTATTTAATGCCAATGTTCTGTTAGTAATCATTGTTAGTTGCTATTTAGGAATTAAAGGCTGGATACAATAAACCTGAAGAAATCTGGTATAAAATTTAGAAGCAGCATCTCTCAGGCATATCTCTTTTCTATGGAACCATAATTACAAAACTACATCTAACTGAATTTAAGGCCCCTTTCTTGTCTACACCTTACAAAACATTCACCTTTAAAGCTACTATTCTGAAATTACAATAAAAACATTCATCAGGATAATCACTGGAATCAAAATTTGAGTAGTAAGCTAAATTACACAGCCAGACACTTTATACTGAAAAAATTAAAACAGATTAAATGTTTTAACTTTTTCATATTGATATTCTACAAAAACAATCTCTGAAAGTAGTGTTATCCTAATCTCTGCTAACTAAACTGAAACTTGTTTCCAATCATAAAATGCTAAGTATTTTCCTAAAATAGATTAGACAAATGCATTGGGCATATTCACAAGTTTGAGAGCATATTATGTTAGTTTCACATTTGATCTTTTAAAAATAAGAAATCTTTAAAAAAAAAGTCAGATTTGTTAGAAAGCCTACAGCTACTCAGGGAGGTAATCATCGCCATAATAGTACCATTGTATCAAACCCGTTTTAACGTAACTGACTGCAAGGATTTCATTCAAAATTTTTGATTCTCAGACAGGTGCATGTGGCCCATTAGAAATAATATTGGACACTGAAAAATTGACTTGGAAGATTTGCAGTCATTACAATTATTCTTCATTTCCTAGTTTAAGGTGCTCAAAAAAAGGCAATTGTTATTAATATCTTACACTGGCCAATGTAAACAAGGATATTTATCTTAAATTAACAAAGCAGAAATAGTTCAGCAGTTTTTGACTAATAGATTGCAGACTTTTTCTATATGCTATTGATTTGTCCTAAAAAAAATAGTGTGAAGCTAATTTGAAGATTGTGCTGTAGCATAATGGAAGAAATCAGGGGCAGAAGGAATGGGTAAGGAGAGAACAACATGAAACCCAGGGCCTATGATATAAAAGAAGTATCTTATAAATTAGCAAGTATGCCTTATAATGAGAATTCCTGAGCCATTTGTCTTACAATACAAAGCAACTGTTTGATGATTTTTAGAGCTCCATACCACGAGCGTTCAGTTTAGGCAGGGGTCTTCAAACTTGGCCCTTTTATGACTTGTGGACTTCAACTCCCAGAATTCCTCAGCCAGGCACGCTGGCTGAGGAATTCTGGAAGTTGAAGTCCACAAGTCATAAAAAGGCCAAGTTTGAAGACCCCCGGTTTAGGAAAATGACCAATGATCTCCTACACATAAATCAACATTTACCATATACGAATCAACAGCTTCTTAATACCACTGACCAGAGAAAGTTCAAAAAGAGCCAATTTGGTAATTGTTGAAAGTACAAAAAAATGAAAAAAAAATCCTCTAGCTGGAATAATTTATAATATGCTCAATAGTATTGAAACAAGAAGAGGCTAAGATTGAAGGGAAAGGTATTCAAATAATCTGCTTCTCTGAAGTATGCTAACCAGATTGAAATTAATGAAGAATCAGCAATCTATAGTATTAACTACGGAATCTATATCAATTGTGCAAAATAAACTATTAAATCTATCTTAACTTATAATTTTCAGCCTATTTAAAATAAAGCCCTATACATTTTCAAAGGCATTTACTTCCAAGAAAGTTCCACTGAAACCCATGGAACTATTATCCACTGAAATGTGTTCAGGATCAAGTCTTCTGAGGTGAATATGAAACGAAATGAAACGAAACCTCTATATATTATACAATTGCTCAGTGTTGTACCAATGCTTTCTCTATTAAAAAAAAAACCAAGAGAGAAAAATGCTTGTTTTCCACATCTTGTACCAGCAACATTAGTATCCAGAAAAACACAATTTCATAATTTAGGAGGTTCAGCTGCTATATCCTATGCAGAAAACCTAACATTTCATACTTAAAACATCACTACAAAATTTACGTCACCCTGTGTAAGTTTATTTTTTTTGTTCCTGGAATGTGAAGAGTTTAAACAGGCAAGTCTGAAAGCCTGCTGCCATAAAAACATTAAATGTCATCCAAGTTGATAAATTCCCTTATGGAGATGTCAGTGAATAGTAGAATAGCAGTTTTGCACTCAGACCATTTTGTATGAAGATATTTTTAGTAGCTTCATTCTGTGCAACTTACTGCCAAATTGCACCAATTCCTCTAAAAAAAAAAAATCTAGTAGAAATTGCTACGGAACGACTGCCACACAGTTTCAGATCTACACAAGAAAGTTCCTTCATATTAAAAACATGCTGAAAATGTTAATCCCTTCACTTACAAAACACAAAGGTTTGTGCAAAGCGTCTATGTATAGAGGAGACCCGGAATGACGGAGAAAGAAGGGAAGGTATGATCTAAATTCCAGTAACAATTAGAGAAATTGTATGATCAGCAGCCACACCCCCACCCTTCTACCACATCCTTGCTGTCAAGTTTGATGCTGTCTGTATTTTTCTCACTGAACATGGGGCCTCCGTGTCTCATCATGAGCTCTGTGGCCATCTTCACAAAAGCTTCCTCCACGTTATTGGAGTCCTTTGCAGAAGTCTCTATGGCACAGCTGATATCGTAGTGTTCCGCCAGACTCTGAGCCTCTTCTAGTTGAACCTCCCGAAGGTCACTTAGGTCAGATTTGTTTCCTAGCAGAAAATATAATTGTTGAGAAGATTATTTTTTTAATATTATTCTGGAGATCAGGGAAAATGTTCGGTTGGGGAGGCCTAGGGAAAAAGACAATGGCAGGGCTAGGTAAAACTGTTGAAGGACCTCAAAAGTGATGCAAATAATCAGCCTAGAGATCAGATAACTACAGTTGCCTTGGAGATGACAAAAACAGGTAGCAGTCAAAACTAACAAAATATCAGGATAAAGAGATGAAAATATAAAATAAATAAATAGATAAATCTGAGCCACTGTAAAGTATAACATTAATTTTTGGGAATACTGGATTTATAATTCTATCCCACTTTGATGTTGACAAACCCTGCATTTCAACATAATACTTCAAGCTCAAGAAATGAGCTTTATACCCCTTCTAACCTAGACCTTCCTGTCTTAACAGGATATTGCTTATTTTGTATTTAGTTATCTCTGGAACTAATGACAATGAATTTTTTTATATTACATTTGATCACTTTCTGACAGTCATTATATCAGAAACCTGCTCAGAAGGGACAGAGATATCTAACAGATGAAAAAGTTCAAATTTAATTTAAAGAATCTGATATCGGTTGGATACTAGCCAAGAGGATCTCATTCCAAATAATCTGAATGCCAATATCGTGCATTCTTTTCAACATCTTAATACCCTGTAGGACAACACAGCATAAGCGTGCAACACATCCCAACAGATAGGAAAACACAGGCTCACTTGTGGCTTGACTTGTTCAAAATATACTGTTAAATAAGGATCCTTACAGCATGGAATACTGAGACAACCATAAAAGGCTGAAGAAAACAAAGTAAACTGTAGAGGAGCTTGAAAGTAATTTTTCCTGCTTCATCAATTATTATGCGGTAATTCAATCCAATCCAAAATGAGGAAGACATGTTTTTATTTTTGGAAACGAAGAAATGCCTTTGCAGAAGTTGCTATTGTGTCCTAATGCATAGGCATAATTCTTTTTGTTTCTGGCTTACCAAGTAGACCTTTCCACACTCACCGATTAGCAACTGTACTATATTGGAGCCTGCATATTTCCTCACATCCTCGATCCAGCGAGGAATGGATTGGAAAGAGCCTCTCTTACTAATGTCATAGGCTAGAATAGCTCCATTGGCGCTTCGATAGTAACTCTGGGTTATAGTCCGAAACCTTTCTTGACCAGCCGTGTCCCAGATCTGTAACTAAAGGAAGTAAAAAAAGAAGGAAGTCAGTAAGTTCTTCAATCACAAGTTGCTGATTGTACTTATCAGATGACCTTTTCTTATGCATACCGATTGAAAAAAACTAAACACAGCACAAAATAAGTTCACACCCAGTTGAATTACATTATCACTGGGTAGCCATAGCCAACATGCCCAATCCATTTGGCAAAGGAAAGTGTAGCAGCAAGTTTAAGAGGGCAATGGTGAATAAGCAGCCATGACTCTCCAACATTACTGGCTACCACAATGCAGGAAGGTTACGGCAATTATAACTGTGATGTACAGAGAACTGACCTCTGACACACAAGTGCAGTTTTTTATATCACAGAGCTGCTCTTCACAGCTGCAGTTGTATTTCTTTTTTTTTATATCACAGAGCTGCTCTTCACAGCTGCACTATTAGAATGCCTGGAAGATACATTTGGTTTCAAAGTTGCCATGTTATGTGTGCACCCGCACAAGCTCTGAAGCACCTCATACCCCTGAAATATACTTAACTTCAAGCCATGAATAAAAAGGGCTTAAAAACACTTAAACAAAGATATTGCTTTAGATTTTTGTAAGATTTACTTTAGGACTGGCCTTGGAAAACACTACCTTGTGTTTGTATGAACTGAGTGAAATATTTTGACAATGTGGATTGTGTTGAAATAGAATAGGAATCAAGATCAGCAGTAATATGTTTGCCACCAGAGATACTGGATTTGTTATAGGTTGATTTGTATTTTATTGGATTATTATTTTTATTATATTATTAACTTATCTGTATACTATCTAGAGCCTCTGGAATGAATAGTTTATAAAAATAATAAAGCAAATAATAATAATAATAACAACAACAATAATGATGTTGGAAGGGACCTTGGAGGTCATCTAGTCCAACCCCCTGCTCAGGCAGGAAACCCTATATCATTTCAGACAAATGGCTGTCCAGTCTCTTCTTAAAAACTTCCAGTGTTGGTGCATTCACCGCTTCCGGAGGCAGGTTGTTCCACTGGTTAATTGTTCTAACTGTTAGGAAGTTTCTCCTTAGTTCTAGGTTGCTTCGCTCCTTGATTAGTTTCCATTCGTTGGAGACTGTACACATTGATAACCAGTTATATTTAAAGTCTTGCTTAACATTCTTATTAACAACAGCCCATGCAATTATGAATGAGCACAGGTAGTCCTTATTTATTGACTGCAATTGGGACAGTGAAGTTAGCTGTGAGGCATTCAAACTGCAATCATGTGAACACAGGATACTGTGATGATCATAAATGCCTACTATTTGCAAAGTGCCCAAATGTCATTCCCATGACTAGAGGGATGTTATGATAATCGTAAATGTGAGGACTGGTAGTAAAGTTACTTTTTAAGCACCTTTGGAACTTCAAATGGTCACTAAATGCAGTTGTTAAGCAAGATGTACCTGTATACAGACTTGGAAATACCTTAGTCCTGCAGGGAAACGGAGTTCGTGAGACTAAAAAAAGTTCAGTCAGACCTTCCAACTTTGCAAGATCTTTTTTTTTTTTCACGAGAAGTTGGAAGGTCTTGAGCTGGGCGATGGTGCACCAAGCTCTATAGTAGCGCAGAGAGGAGAAGCACCAGGAAACGGGGCTGCCATTTTGAGAACGGAGAAGGGAAATGCGGGGCGATAATTCAAAAGCAGAATTCCAAAAGATGAACTTTCCTTCAAAATATGTATTCAAGCAGATGTCATAGATATTTCAGTTTGGATTCCTGTTCAGAATAAGGATTGGATTCAATAGTTTAAGTGGACCTTTTTAACACGGAGCCTTTCAATATTTTGTTAATAAATCAGTATATTTAAAGGCTACTTCCTTTTAAATATATGTTTAATATCTATATATCTTATTACAACATTAGGACTGGAATCAAAGAGAGTTAAGCAATAACTAATTGTAAGATATTGCACACATTGTCTTTGGAAAATTTCTTGATTACTTTCAAAAGGCCTGGAAAAGCTTTCTATTTACTTTCCCGTACTGTGAACAGGTTTACAGCCCTCTTTGGTACGCTGTGTCATATAATAAAGGAATTGCACAACGTGTTTGTTAAAGTCGATTAAAATCCTAAAACACTTTGACGCACTGCCAATAACTTTTCCAGGTCAAATTACAAAATCCTACTGGGAACTATAAATGAGATGTTGTTGATCCAGATTACAAAGCATGACAATTATTTTCAATATACGTGTACATTGAAGGCATTCATGTTCTCTATAATAATACATGTTTATTGTACTGAGGGCAAATGCTAATACTTTCCTGAAGTGTACCATTTTAATAAAATCTACCTTAATAGAGAAGGGGGTATATTTAGTGTATTCAGATCTAGATTTCTACAATATATACATACCTATAGATATGAAAAAAGATTTTTAAAAAAATCCAAATTAGCCTGATTTAAAGTATTACAAAAAAACTGCCCCCCCCATCCCAGTTAATTCCACAGAGCTGGAATGGTATATAAATTAAATTATAATAATTATAATAATAATGATATAGGGTTTCCTGCCCAAGCATGGGGTTGGATTAGAAGACCTCCGAGGTCCCTTCTAACTCTGTTATTCTGTTCTGGAATCATACTTAAACCAGACTGCCCACTTATGCTTTAGCACACAAGCAGGATATTTACGTGAGCTACAGGCCATGTCATGACAAAACTACTCACACAGGAATTACAACCTAATTTCTATACCAGTGTTTCTCAACCTTGACAATTTTAAGGCATGTGGACTTCAACTCCCAGAATTCCACAGCCAGCATTGCTGGCTGTGGAATTCTGGGAGTTGAAGTCCACATGCCTTAAAATTGTCAAGGTTGAGAAACACTGTTCTATACAATACCAACCAAATCTTAAAACTTAGGAGATGTGATGCCATCTCCTAAGTAAATAAAGAAGTTTGTCTCAAAGTTTGTTGTAAGTTTTTTTTATACTTTAATATAACTCATCAGATAAGCAAAGTGGACTCTATCATACCCAAACAGGCTCCAAACCAAGTTCACGAACTATGCATCGACACACTCCATGACAAAAGAACTCGTAATGTCATATTGATTTCAAACATTACCCAAAAGTTCCTTGGGGAGTTTTATTTTAACAGGCCTGGAATATCACAAACTGAGTTTTCTCCAAGAAGCTAAGAGGCTTTTCAAACATTGTTGAGCACCTCCAGAAAAGCAAAGAAATATTCCTTTAGGCTTTTTTTTTTTTTTTTTTTACAGGTGCTGTACCTGATGCTTTTACCTTCTGAACTTAGCAAAAGCGGGGAGGGGACTGAGGGTGGAAGGCAAATTCTACTTCTTTTCATTTTTCACAAAGGTAGCCCAGCGGCAACCGTGTCAAGCACAAACTCTTGGGCAAATTCTGGCTTGGCGATGAATTCTCCGCCCAGCCACGGATGTCAGCAGATCGACTGGTAAAGACGCCGGGCGCCCTTCGGTCTCCCGGGAAAGGGACGTTGCCATGCCAGCTTCTTCTCCCCCGACCGTAGCTGTTGTTCTGTCCGCACACACCTGTTACCTGCCCGGCACACACCTGTTACCTGCCCGCCTCCCCTCCCTCGCCCCCCTCCCCGCTGCCCACCTTGACCCGCTTGCCCTGGATCTCCAGGCTCTTCATGGTGAAGTCCACGCCGATGGTGTTGCCCTGGCGCTCAGAGAAGGCCCCGGTCTTGAAGCGCTGCACCAGGCACGTCTTGCCCACGCTGGCATCGCCGATCAGCACCAGCTTGAAGAGGAAGTCGTAGTGCTCCTCCGGGTCCGGCCCGGGCGGCGCCGACGGGGAGCTGGGCATGACCGCGGCGCTGCTCCCACGGCTGCCCGCCGCAGGTCTCCTCGCTCCCGTTTGGCAACCGCAGCGCCGGCCTCAGCATCCTTCCCCGCCTGCCTTCCCCTACCAGGCCGAGGCAGTGGGCATGCGCGGCGGGAGCCTGCTTCCTTCCTCCCTCCCTCCCTCCCTCCCACCACCCCACCCGCCCCCTCCACGCGCCAGGCGTCAAGGGTGGGGCAAAGGAGCAGGGCAGGATTCCCCTCGCGCTTAGTGGGAGGGCTTAGTGGAGGAAAGACTTGCCCCTGGCTAGAGCAGGGGTAGGCAACCTCGGCTCTTTTATGACTCGTGGACTTCAACTCCCAGAATTCCTGAGCCATGCTATGCTGGCTCAGGAATTCTGGGAGTTGAAGTCCACGAGTCATAAAAGAGCCGAGGTTGCCTACCCCTGGGCTAGAGGCTGAGCTCGCCCATTACGATGGCCGGATTTCCGTCTTACGTTATCTCTCTCTGGTCGCCCGGAGCAGGAAGCGCGTCTAGAGAAACTCCCTCACCTGTGTGGTGTAGGCAGTGCACCTTGACCCTTGAACTGCTAAATTCCCTAGAATTGGACGTAATGCTTGTTTTACAGGCAATGGTTTACCTATTGCACACTTTGAACAGTGACGGTTGCCACAAGAACAGCCGAAATAAGCAAAACTGAGTTCCTTGGAGGCAAAGATAAATGTATTTGTCTTTAGGGTGCGGCAAAACAAACTATGTATGTAACCAGACATAGTGAGGGTGGCCAGTCCAACACGTGTAAAAACTGGTGATAAAATAAGTTCTAATACTCTGGATGAGCTCCCTGCAGCACTTGCGGAAGTGAGGAAACGTGCAACCCTGCAACTAATTGTTAGATTCGCTTAGTCATTTATAATCAATCTTTATTTGCAGTTTTGGAATAAATAAGAAGCACATGCTTTATAGAAGCTGTCCCTCTGCGTGCAGGAAATACAATAATGCTGAATGCATTTGCGTATTAGTTTTCAGTCATTTTTAGCGAAGCTCTGATACAAAGGATAGCATTCCACAAGACAGGAGGAACAGGTGGCTGGTTTAGAAGGTAAAACATTTTCCAGAGTCACTTGAGTCCTGAGCCAAAATTTGTACCAGAGCCATAAATTTCACAGATTGGAAAAATGTTACATGGTAATATCTGTGTTTCTCTATATGCCTCTCCATCACTAAGGCGGATAGTTCAATAATTTTACAAGTATGTTTGTTTCCAAAGCTTTAATAAGGGAGTTCTGGGCTAGTCCTCTGCAGGCTTGTTGACACTATCAAGGCCTGTGTCTGAGATTAGGCTCTACTTTTGTAAAAGTCTAGTACAGGGGTGTCTAACTTTGGCAACTTTAAGACTTGTGGAGTTCAACTCTCATAATTCCCCAATCAGCATTCTGGGAGTTGGTCCGCAAAACCTTAAGTTGCCAAGGTTGGACAACCCTGGTCTAGTAGTTGTTTCTTCCAGCTTCTCACAGGAGATGCCTGTTGCTTCAGGTTGCTCAGCTGTTCTTTCTGTCACAGATAGGAACTTTGCCAGCGTCACAAGATCTGTACTCTATTTGTATTGTATGCTGCTATTGTTTATTGGAGTGCACTCTTCCTCCTCTCAGTATGGAAAACCAGATATGTGTGTCTGTGTATCTGCCTGTTTACATATATATGTGTTGAGTGGCCATATTTGGACTACAAAACTCTGGACCACCACTAGAAAGCAGCCAGGACTTTTCTGTATCTCTTGTATAGCTCTAGTAATAGTTTAGATTTTGAGTGCAAATACAGTATCCATGAACTTCGAACTTGATTAAAATTTGATTAAAATACTAATTTCAGAAACAGTGCCTAGCCAAGAAAGCACATTTATCAATAAAAGGGAAAAATACTGATTCCGCTATACAGTAAATTATGCCGTAAATTATCTTACATCTTCCTTGTAAAATGACAATATCCAAATCTCTAAGCCACATTACTCAACAAGAAATACATCTATGGCTGTCAACCTTTCTTGAGTGGAAAGTTAGGTGTATTTTTTTCTTGTCAGTTTTTATAGGATTATTCTTCAAATTAATCATTATTAATTAAAACAAATCTGCAGTTTTCCCTGGTGTGAACATTTGCCACTATTGTTTATTACAAATGTTCTGCAGTTAACTCTAAAAGTAAACCTGAAGTATAGCTGTAGACATTAATAAATACATTCACGCATTCCATTCAGTGCATGTACCATTGATATGATCATATAATTATTCCGGTTCCATGCACAGTGTTCATTTTATGCATACTGTCAATTGACTTGTATGTTATGTAAGATTAGTGATTACAAATGTATAAGCTCTCTTCAAGCTTTATAAAATGGACATAAGAAAAACAATGGGCTTTGGCCTGGCTTCTCAATCCTTGAGAGTTTGGTTAGTATGATTTGTAATAAGAATGTGATCATACAGTATACTGTAGTTCAGACATGTCAAACAGAAGGCCCGGGGGCCGGATGCAGCTCGTGAAGTGGTTTCATGTGGCCCGCAAAGCCATCCTGGAAACAGTGAGGGAACGGCCCCTGCTGCCTTGGCCCTGGCCCAGACTGGCCAGGAGAGACCCAATGTACAATTTTGTGGTGGCCATCTATGCTGAAACGCATTCAGTCTTAGCTCCACAAGGCCATCTGGAAACAGCGAGGAACCAGCCCCTGGTTCCAGGGTGCATGCTGGGGTGCATGCTGGGGAGGTGTCACCCTTTGTGAGGAATGAAGAAATGCACCATCGCCTGGAAGTGGCCAGCAAATGGCCCTCACCTACTTCACCTATCCGGCTTGATGGCCTCTGGAGGAGGGGTTTCAGCAGGCAGTGAGGCTCCTCCAGTGGACCATGCCTTGGCACTTGCCCCGGTCTCACCCCCTTCTGCCAGAGACCCTCAGATCTGTCTCACTCCTGCCCAGGCACCCTTGAACAATGTAGAGCTGGCCATGCCCACCCAATAGGCCATACCCACTCCATCCACACCCACCCAGTAGGCCACACCTACCCTGGCCACACACACCCGCCCCCCGAGGGCAACCGCAATGCTGATGCAGCCCTCAATGAAATTGAGTTTGACACCCCTGCTGTAGTTGAATGAAATGAAAACCATCCAAGGAATTGTGATCTTAACAATATATGAACATCTCCAAAGGAAAGTCAGAAATGGGTGTGTGAGTGTGTAAAATCTAAATCATCTGCTCTATATATTTAAAATAAGGATTAGGGACTATTTAACATTCTAAAATGTTAAGTATTGAATGAAAATAGGAATGGGTACAGTATGTATATTTGTACTGGGATTTTGAGGTAATAGCCAATATCCTTTTGATTACTGAAGACATACCTGTATTTGACAGAATATTGTGATTTTTGTATTGCAGCTACAGTTCCCAAAGGGCTGATAAATGTTGCCTTTTAGACTTCATATTTTATATACACAGAATTTGTCATTCTCTGGAGAATATGCAGAAAAATGCCCATATTTCCCGAAGTATTTCATTTTCAAATATTAAGTGCTTTGAGCATATATTTTAAAAAGGGCTTAAAATACTAAAGAAAATGAAGCACAGTTAAATGGATTTTAGTTGGATTGAAAAAAATCTATTGAAAACCAGTATATCATTAGTTTTATCTTTTTCAATAAAGCAGACCTATATGCTTCTCTGTGACCTCATCATAACATTTAATAGGGTTGTATTGTACTAATAAATGAAGTATTCTATAATTTAACTAAGATTTTTCTCCCAAACAGTGCAGTCTGTTGCCTTTCTTTATTTCCCTGAAGCCTTACCAAGCATATTAATTTTTCCTCATCCATTATCTGCCTGTATCACATACCCCAAAGATGTGAATTTCTGATTGCTGATTATTGTCTCAAGGGAGCAGTCAGTTTTATTTAGTTTAGGGCTGATTGATTTTCCCCCCTTTCTATCTATTAGTATTAGCATTCTATCTATTAACTATTAGCATTCCTAATGGCCGTTCCCAAATTTATAATTTGAACACATCTATCTTCTGTCTCTCACTCTTACTCAATATCCAAGTTTTACAGCCATTGCTTTAACTGGAAAGTCCATTGGCTTAATTCTTCTTCCTTTTTTTGATCATTGAAATGCCATTCTACTTAAACTCTGTCTAAATTAATCACAGGCATTTTTCATCTTTCTCAACTCCAGCAGTTATTTTCACCCATTGAAAGGAAATAATATACTCCTCCTTTACCTTATATTGCATAGCCCCTGTCAAGAGCACAGCTGTGGTCTGATAGCATGACTATGTAGTTAAGTGAAAAGAGAAGCGTTTTTCAGTCCTAGTGATTTAAGGCACCGTTTTCTGAACTATATTTTCTAAATATGATTGGCATGTATTATTTTTCCAGATGCATTGCCACATGGCATTGTTTTAATTTGCATTATATTATGTGGTTTATTTTGTATGCTGTCCAGAATCAAGAAGGAGTTGGGCAGCCAATAAATTTAACTTATAATTATAGTCAAAGAAGGCCTGGAACTGTTTTGGTTACTTGATTAGGGAGTTCTGTTTTGCATATGTTAATCTAGCTTTGTTTTATTTCACACTCTCCAGGATTAAGCCCTGGTTTTGACAGTACATTGAAACATTTATTCTTGGCACAAATTAAACTACAGTTGGCCTAGTAGTATAATTTGCTAAACTAAGTGTCTCAGGTAAAACACTGAACTATTAAGCAATTAATTTAATATCGTTGTATTTTATTGCAGCGAGAAGTACTAATAGGACTGTTAGATTCTGAAGCAAAAAAACCAAAAACAAAAAAACTGACTTACTATTGCAGGACTGAGTGACTGCCTCTCTAATTGTGTAGAAGCATCTAATGAAAAAGTTGAGCTTTTGTACAGAGAGTTGATCCATCATTGATTTGTTATGAAAGTATACCATAAATAATAACATGTATCTCCTATTTGGAATATACTGTTCATCAAAGTTCTTACC